ACCTGGCACCTGCCCCGGGAGCCGTGGAGGCATCTCCTGGTGCCAGGCGTCCATAGTTGGGCCACGAAGGTTGCCACTAGTTGGTGGCGGTGGGTGCAGGTGCCGCACAGGTGATGTAACATCTGTGTGCACTTGCGTGAGAGAGAAGAGGTTCGTCAGCAGGAGCTCAAACCCGTCCCATTCTGCATTAGGGATTCTTGATAAACATTCTCTTCTCTCCCTTCTCCGTCAGCAGCACAGCGTTCAGGCGGCCAAGGCTGACTTTTCTCCATGGCCTCATGTCCATAGATCTTAAGATACATGTGAATAAATGTATTCAGCTACCAAAAAGTACTGTTTTATTGGTCATCTAAAGATGAAAAAAAAACAAAGAAAATCAGAGGGTAACTGTTTAAGAGTGGTGGCCGGTGTCTCTTCTGCCTTGTCTGAGAGGATCCTCTTCCTTTCTGTTATGGGCGTACTTGATGGTACAATGAAGAACCAGGCAGTACTGTTTCAGTCACAGCCTGTGTGTCATTAGTTTCCTACTAGGCCATCAGCCCTGAGGAGGAGCTGTCTGCGTGACTGCCTGGCCTGCTGCCTTAGCTCCTGGGTCGAGCTGGTGTCCTTGTCACCACCCTGGCCAAGGCAGGTTGGGAGAAGCATTGCCCTGTGATAGGAAGGCAGGTGCCTGTTCTGTATTCTAAATAGGAAAATACTTTTCAAGTCTTAGATTAACTTAAAATCAAGTTGCTCCACTTAGTTACAGTGGAGCCTGAACATAGACTTACCTTTTAATCTTTACACATATGGGGAATTACTGACGGCTGTAGCAGAGTTACTGTGACGAAGAGGGCGTATGTAGTCACCAAGGTCCTTCTGTGTTCTGTCTGGTGACGAACTCCATTCTAGGAATGGAAGCTACATAGCTTCAGTCAACACTTTTGAACAGTTTTGGGCTTTGGGATCATGGCTTTTTATCATACATGGAAGCCTGGCAGACCCTAAACACTGTAGTTAACGTCTGTGTCGTGTTTCAGTTCTGCTTGTTTTTGTTTCTATTTGAAAATGTCATTAAGATTGCCTCCATCTAAAGGTTTTCATTCATCCTTGTTGTTTTCCTTTGCCGTTTATTTATTGAAGAAACTGGTTCATTTCCTCTTAGGTTTCCCATAGTCTGGCTTTTGCCAGTCGCATCCTATGGTATCTTCGTTTCTCAGCATTTTGTGGGAATTGGCAGGTGTTCTGGACGCTTGGGTGGGGTAGGACTCCTTTGTGGTGGCGGGTGACCCTACCAGGAGGCCGTATGCCCGTTTCTCACGTGTGAGGTTGGTAGCCTTGATGTACCGCGAGTAGTGCCAATACCTCCTTAAGGATTACCAACGGGATTACTTCCGTAGGGATGTAAATGTGCCATCGCGTACTGTGTGGCAGCCCCGTGGCGTGTGCGTGACCAGAGGGAGAATAACTGACTCTTGGCCCTTGTTTGCCAGTTTTTAAAATGGCATCCTCTCATGGTAGCCAATTAGTTTCTTTTTTGAGTGCCATTTGGAATTCATGCATTTAAATACTTTTGATACATTTCAGTCCATTTCTGATAAAATCCTTATTTATGCTCAAGTTTTTCCATCTTTCACCAGTTGGAGCCTCTCCCCATTGACTCCTGAAATGGCTTTCTGCTTTTTTGTGCAAAGGATTTTTCAGGCTCATTTTTTTTACACCCTTGGAACCATTGATTTCACCAGGAGGGCTCTGATTTCCTTCACTTAGAAATTGTATCTCAGAAGCATGTCTAGCCCTCATTGTGCTCACTGATGCTTGGCTGGTCTTTCCAGGCCTTTTAGGGGACAGAAGAAGTATATATAATTGTAAGAGAAAAAAACGCCTTATGAATGCATACTGATATTTTCCATTTGAATTTATGGCTACTAGTTTTTCCCAAACTTTTCTACCAAAAATCTTTCTTCTTACATAGCAAGGACATCATGAAGTGTAATTATTCAGTTGTTTTATCCAACATTATATACCAAGCTATTGCAGAGTAACCACACCAACACTATAGCCAATAGTATGTTTCATGGAAACCATTTAAATTACTTTACCTGTTGTTCTTAAACAATCGTACTGAATCTAACCTGCCAGAGACGAGAGCAGTTACATGTTCTTTCTTCCTCACAACTGCCATTTGCTCTTTGTCTGCAAACAACCATTTATTTCATGGTTACCACCAGCCCTTCTCTTGGTGCCACGGTTCATTCTCTGGTAGATATTCTTTACTCTTGTTCCCCAAGTTTTACTGAGATGTGATTGACATGTAATACCGTGTTAGTTTACAAGGTGCACAACATAATGATTTTGTGTTTGTGATCTATTGCAAAACGATCACCATGGTATATTCAGTTAACATCTGTCGCCTTGTTTTTCCTGTGATGAGAACTCAGATCTGCTCTGTTAGCACCTCTCAAATACATAGTGCAGTGTTATTAACTGTAGTCAGCATGCTGTCCATGACATGCCTGGGACTTCCGTTTATCCTAAAACTGGAAGTTTACAGCATTGGCCTCCTTCACCCATTTCACCCGCCGCTTGCCACCACCAGTCTGTTCTGTTTCTGTGAGTTCAGTCTTTTTAGATCATACGGTGTTTGTTTTTCTCTGTCTGACTTCCTTCACTTAGCATAATACCCACTGGTCCTTCCACATTGTCACAAAATGATAGGATTTCCTTTTTTATAGCAGAATAATAATTCCCTTGTATATACATTCATCTGTCGATGGGCACTTAGGGAGTTTCCATGCCTTGGCTACTGTGAGCATTGCTTCAGTGAACATGAAGCACACGTATCTTTTTGAGAGACTGATTTCATTTCTTTTGGATAAATACCCAGAAGTGGGACTGGTGGATGGTATAGTAGTTGTGTTTTAATTTGTTGAGTAGCCTCCATGTTGTTTTTCAAAGTGGCGTAACCATCTAGGAGATTCTTAAGGCTTCGTGGGAACTGATTTTCAAGTTCTTGCTGGTTCTTATCAGTTGGTTGCAGCCTTTTTTACTGGAAAGTCAGTTTGGCTGGGTATAAAATCCTTAACTTCTGCTTTCTTTCTTTAGGGTTTTTATAAGTTATGTATGTTGGCTTAGAGAGCCTCTCATGGTTGCCATGCACCCTAGGATAGAATCCTGTGCTTCTTTACCAGTTTCTTTTAATTATCTCTCTCAGTTTTTAAACAGGTAGTGTTCTGCTCAAAAAAGTAGTAGAAAAGGAATTATAAATGAGAGAATCACTGTTGAGATTTATTGTATATTTCAAGTATTTAAAAAGTGTAATTCACAAACTTCTTTAACTATTATATGGAATGGAGAGTACTTTCACCAAAGGAGTCCTTCTGAAAGCAAAGTGGAATTAAGTTTGATTTTTAATTACTGGTGAAGCTGTCCCTCTGATTTTAAAGTGCAGGTTTATAGATTGGATTTCGTGATAATATAAAATCCCATAGTTCTCATTTGGAAGCTACATAAACACAGATAAATCTTGACCTCTCATTAAAAACATTTTACATTTTTATGAACCAAAGGATGTTTTCTAATGTTTAGTCATCATAAAATTGAAACAAACAAGTCACTTTATCATAAAAAATGAAGTGTAGTAGTCACTTGAGATGAAGATAAGCACAGACAAGGGTAGCTTCTCTTTTAGTTGAAAGGACTAGAAAGGCTAACTTCTGAGTGGTACATATGGATTCATAAATTCTATGAAATTTGAATAGGTGTTGTGAAATTAAAGCTTTGAAATGTTTGATTACTAGTATTTATATGAAACAAATATTTATAATATTTTTATGCTTAAGATCATAAAATAAGCTCTTGTTTTATATTTTTTAAGTTAAGGAACAGAGATTAAGAGTTGGCTAAGCGTTTGACTCTTGATTTTTCAGCTCAGGTCATGATCTCGCAATTCGTGTGCGCATGCTCTCTCTCTCTCTCTCTCTCTCTCTCTCTCTTTCTTTCTTTCTGTCTCTCTCTCTCTCATAAATAAAGAAATAACTTAAAAAAATTAAGACTCCTATGATAACAAAATCAATAACCAGTGAAATTTAGACTTTTAATATCTGAGACTCCCAATATTATTCCTAATTCATTTTCATGTTATTTTTCTAAATGTCACCTATATTTTAATTGTCCATAAAAGTAAGTCACATGTGTCACTTCTGTTTCCTCTTAAATCCAAACATACTATTCATATCTAACTTGGATAATTATAACGTGGCATTGGAATTTTCTAAGTATTCTAAGTAGTTGTAATCGAAAGACCTGCTGTTGAAACAAGCCTAACCTTTATGTTCACCTACATGTTCCAGCGTTATGGGCTGCTTAGTGCTGTTGAGAGAGGTCGGCTCACGTTTGCTCCCTTCTGGGAAACGCAGGTGGTCTGTGCTGCCTTGAGCACCTGTGATTGCCTGTGTCCTGAGGTGACTGTGCTGTGGCTAATGGGACCAAACTGACCCTGGGCTGGTAGATTAGTCTCATTCAAGTTCATGTTTCAGGTTAGGGCATCACTTAATTACATATATTGCTTACTTTAGGGTCAAACCCCAGTTATAAAATGTGACCTCTGGCCTCTTATGACATGTTTTGAATTGAAATGTGTGCGTTCTCCTGGAGTCCTTCCTGTTGATATAGTCAGACATAAGCCTGCACTGCAAGTCTGTGTGCAGGCTGCCTTTGAAGTCACACTGGGTACACTCTCTACTCGCTTGTTTAAAATTAACTTATGAAACCTCTAGCAGCTATTACGTCATAATTTTGCTTTGTTTCTATGTCAATTACTTTTCTGTCTTTGGTTTTTTTTTTTTTTTTTTGGTTTTCTGTTTGTTTTTTTTTTTTTTTTTTTTTTTTTTTTTTTTTTTTTTTNTTTTTTTTTTTTTTTTTTTTTTTTTTTTTTTTTTTTTTTTTTTTTTTTTTTTTTTTTTTTTTTTTTTTTTTTTTTTTTTTTTTTTTTTTTTTTGGGCGGGGGAGGCAGACAACCCAAAAGTATGGAAAGTTTCACAGATTGGCATGTCATCCTTGCCTGGAGCCATGATAGTCTTCCATGTATAGTTCAGGTTTAGCACACATGCTGTGGAAACAAGCACTCTGTCCACTCTCTCATTGGATTTGCTCAAGAGGAAGGAGATGGCCCTTGCCTACTACCTCAGAAATTAGTTACTTTGAAAAACTGCCATTTAATATTTGGGTCTGGATATAATCCCAAGAATTCTTCCCGGAAATACTAACTGCATACCCATTTCAATCTACAGCGGTTTATTCTTTATTGCATTTCTTCTGTGATAGCAGATTGGCAGGTTAACTTTACTTCCATTACCATTATTATTTTATCTTGCATAATAACAGCCTTGCAGAAGAAGTAACTGATTCTGAACAATGGTAATCCACAATTCCACAGTGAACTTTCTCCTGTGTTAGAAATTCTTGGGGGTACCCCTCTTGGCTTGGATTATTGGCTAGCTGTTTTCATGGTTGACATTTCTCTGCCATTCTGTTAAGGAAATGGACAGACAAGGCACAGAAAAGTATAAACAACCATTAAAGAGTAAATTAATGCTACCAAGTAATAGGAGAGGCCTCCCACACAGAATAGGGCCCAGCCCCCACATACTGGCTATACGGATTAACAGCACGCCAGGCCTTCATCGGGGAGGGGAGGGGGGGGCTGGTGTCACTGAAAGTTAGGAACTTGTAGAAGGTGTGAGATTAGCTGTGCCTGGGACGTTGGGTAGGATTCAGGCAGAGTCAGAACTCATGGACTGGAAGGCTTTTAGGGAAAGGAGATGAGAAGGCAGAGGGCCAGACGGAGGGCTGCTAAGTCCAGCACTGAGGTTTTTATCCTATAGCTAGAGGGGAATAGTGAGTGTGTTTGGAATATGGAAATACAGCAAAATACACTCGTTTTTCCCTCCCCAGATAGATCGAATATTCCTCTTCAATATTATGTGTGTACGGGTTCTTCCCAGCTCTGGCCTGGTCTGAGCCTTCCTCATACCTTGCCTGTGCAGTGGCAACAGGTTCCTAAGTGGGCTTCCAGCTTCCCGCTCTTGCTGCTGTCTGCTTCCTCCCATCTTTGGAATCAGAGAGGTTTTTCCAGAACACTGTTTAACCACATGCTGCATGATTGAAAGCTTTTTTCTGGTGTCCATGAAGCCCAACCAAGTTGTTGGCTTGTGCCAAGTTGTCACTATTTGGGCCTTCCTCTCCCTGTTAATCTGCTGCCAGACCCTCGGATCTTCTGTGCTGCACACGGTGCCTGGATGCTGGCTCCTCCGTCAAGTCATGTTCCTGGGAGGCTGTTCCCAACCCCTTCAAGTGAATTTAAGCCTCATGTCTTATCAGTATTTTTCTATATTTTAGATCTGATTATATTCTTCTTAAGATCCTCTTTTTGAGGGGTGCCTGGGTGGCTCTTTTTTAGGGGTGCCTGGGTGCTAAAGTAAGTGTCCGACTTTAGCTCAGGTCATGATCTCGCTGCTTGTGAGTTCAAGCCTGCATCAGGCTCTGTGCTGACAGCACAGCCTAGAGCCTGCTTCATATTCTGTCTCCATTTGTCTCTGCCCCTCCTCTGGTCTCTCTCTCTCAAATATAAACATTAAAAAAAATACTGTTTTATTTCCCCATTCTGCACAAAGTGCAAATACCTGCAAAGGGCATCTGTGTGAGCCCTTCGCAGTTAGACCCTAACTGCCCTCCTTTCCGTGCCCTGCCGCTCGCCACTCAGGCTTCCATCTGATGAGACGGTTCTCCACTGTCTGAGCACTCTGTTATTTTGATACTTTATTTTGTATTTTTCCTTCTTAATAGACAAAACATACCCTTTTAAGATTCAACCAGATATCGTCTCATGTGAGGTGTTGATTCATTCTTCACTGTAACCAGCCCCATTACCCTTGTTCTTTTCTCACATAGTGATATGTGTGAAAATCAGTTTTATTATGTATTATAGTCTCTTATTATTTAAAGCATTTCTACTTCCTGTGCTGACCGTGAGCACCTTGTGAGGGTAGGGCACACCTCTTTCCTGCCTTTAGATCTTAGTGTGAAGCACAGTAGCTAGGAAAGGAACTGGGAAAGGTTTCTTAATAACTTCATTTGCATGAGCTGAAGATGTAGTTTCAAGGAGGCTTAGAATTGAGAAGAGAGCACAGCAGTTCTGTGCTACTTCATAGGATTTGTCTCTCTGAATTCTCCCCACTGGTCCAGGAGGTATGTTTTCTATCACCTTATTTTGCTGATGAAGATCTTGAGACCCAGGCCACTAAGATCTGGCCTAAAGCCATGGGTTGTTGCTCGGAGAGGAGAAATATGAATATAGATCTATTTGATGTGGCAGTCCAAACTTTTAATCTTTCATTGCTTCCTTTTGGTATTTGGTGGATCTACATTTGTATCCTTGCGGGTGCTGAAGATGTTAATTCACTGTCAGGACCATGTGCTTCCAGTTATCATGTAACAGAAGCTCCGGATGTTCAAATTAGCCCTGCTTTATGGGTGAAGAACATGAGGCTGTACAAGCAAATTATTTGTCCAGTTTGAGTGTTAGGAATAACCTTTCTTCAGAGTGCATTCTAAATTTTTAAGTTCATTGATGAAGGATCTATAAGGGTGTTCTTTAGGTTTTATTTTTATCCAGTACAGTATTAAATCTATCTATATAATTTATGTATTATAATATTAAAAAATGTATGCCCATTTATAAAGCACCTAGTGGCAGATCATTGTTACTATGTTTTATTTTTTATTGTGGTAAAGTACACATACATATATTTTATAGCCTTCAGCATTTTTAAGTCTACAATTGGGTGGCATTAACTACATCCAGACTGCTATGCTGCTGTCTCCACCGTCCATCCCTGTACTCACAGAATTTCTGCACCCTTTAGTCACTAAGTTCCCACCCCCCCTCCCCCAACCCCTGGCACCCACTGTTCTGCTTTAACTTTGTGACAGTGACGACTCTACATAGACGTAGAATCATATAGTATTTGTTTTTTTACAGCTGGTTTCCCACAGCATAATGTCCTCAATATCACTCTCTATCTTTTCTTTCCCTTTAAGGCTGAATAATAGTGGGTTGCCTAGAGGGTGCTCTGCACCACATTTGTATCTAGGAGTTGCTTCCATTTTTTTTTTTTAATTTTTTAATGTTTTATTTATTTCTGAGAGAGAGAGAGAACAAGTGAGCGAGCAGGGGAGGGTCAGAGAGAGAGGGAGACACAGAATCTGAAGCAGACTCCAGGCTCTGAGCTGTCAGCACAGAGTCCGATACGGGGCTCGAACCCACAAACCGTGAGATCATGACCTGAGCTGAAGTCGGATGCTTAACCGACTGAGCCACCCAGGCGCCCTGCTTCCATGTTGTTGGCTTTTTTTTTTTTTTTAATTTTTAAGTGTTTTATTTATTTCTGAGAGAGCGAGCGAGTGAGAGAGAGCGAGAGCGAGCGAGTAGGGGAGGGTCAGAAAGAGAGGGAGACACAGAATCTGAAGCAGGCTCCAGGCTCTGAGCTGTCAGCACAGAGCCCAATGCGGGGCTCGAACCCACGAACTGTGAGATCATGACCTGAGCTGAAGTCGAACGCTTAACCAACTGAGCCACCCAGGTGCTACCCCCCCCCCCCCCCCCCCCCCCCCCCCCCCCCCCCCGCTTCCATGTTTTATATTCTTGTGAGTAATGCTGCTCTGGACATGGGTGGACAGATCTCTTTGAGACCCTGCTTTCAGTTTATTGGGGCATATTCCCAGAGGTGGAGTTGTGGGGTCATAAGGCAATTCTTTTTTAATTTTTTTGAGGAACCTCCATACTATTCTCCGCAGTGGCTGCACCAGTTTGCATTCCTGCCAACAGTGCACAAGGTTCTCTTTTTTAACATTCTCGCCAACACTTGTTATTTCCTGACTTTTATTTTAGCCCTTCTGACAAGTACGAGGCGCTATCTGATTGTGGCTTTGATTTACATTTCCCTGATGGTCAGTGACTGACATTCGACATCTTTTCACGCTTATTGGTCGTCGTTGTATTTTTGGAGACCTGTCTCTTCAACTTCTTTGCCCATTTGTGAATCAGGTTGTTAGTTTCAAAGTTTTGTATCTATTCTGGATAGTGATTGCTCACCAGGTCCACGATCGGCAAATGTTTTCTCTCAGTCTGGGAGTTGCCTTTCTGCTCTGTAGACCGTGTCTCCTATTGTATAAAACTTTAGGATTTTTATGAAGTCCACTCTCTTTTTTCTTTTGTTGCCTGTGCCTTTGGTCACATCCAAGAAATTGCCAAATCCAGTGTTGTGAAGCTTTGTGCTGTGTTTTCTTCCAAGAGTTTTGCTGTTTTGGGCCTTACCTTTAGGTCTTTGATCCATTTTGAGTTAATTTCTGTATATGCTGTTAGGGAGGTGTCCAGCCTCATTCTTTGTGTGTGGAGATGCAGTTTCCCCAGCTGTGTGGTTAAAGACTGTGGGTTCCCCCTTGAGAGGTCTTGGCCCCCTTGTCAGAAACCCTTTCACTATATATGTGAGGGTCTCTTTCTGTATTCATTAGTCTGTATGTCTGGTTATGCCAACGCTACGTGGTTTGGTTTCTAGCTTTGTGTAGTAAGTTTGAAATGAGTAATTGTGAGTCCTTCAGTTTCTTCTTTGCTATTTGGGGTCCACTGAGATTGCACATGTTATTTTAAGATGGGTTTTCTATATTAAAAAAAACTTTCATGGGGATTTTGATAGGAAATGCACTGAATCTGTAAATTGTTTTGGGTAATAGGACATTTTAATGATACATGAATTCTTCCAGTCCACAAACATGGGATGTGCTTCCATTTACGTCTTTAATGTCTTTCAGCAGTGTTTGGCAGTCTTCATTGTGCAAGCTTTTTCCCCTCCTTGGTTAAGTTAATTCCTACGTAGTTTGTACTTTTTGATGCTATTTTAAATGGAATTATTGTCATAACTTTCTTTTCAGGTCGTTCACTCGTTGTGTATAGAAACACAGCTAAATTTTGTGTATCACCTTGTAACCTGCTACTTTCTGAAATCATTTGTTAGTTATAATAGCTTTTTTATGGCATCTTTAGAATTTTCTATGTGTAAGATGATAA